CTCACCTGTCCACAGCACCTGCTACGTGTACTAACCCGATTCTTGTGTGCAGTTGTGTCGCAGGTATCCGGGCTTCCTGCGGGTGGCGCTGTCAGACCCTCAGCCTGAGAGGAGGTGAGAAGTTTCTCATAGGATCCAAACCTCAACACTTGACCCGTGGACTGTGTGTGGCTGTAACGAAGCCACCGGTTCTTCTACTGGTATCAGCAACACACCTGTAGATGAGAGGGGTCCCATGTCCCCTGTCTGGAGAGTCACTTTAGTTTGTTCCTCCACCACCACCACCACCACCACCACCACCGAACTGGCATTAAAGGGTTGAGGTCCTGACAGCGAGTCAGTGTTTGGTTAAGATCAGGACTGATGGTGGTCCATGTGTCCTGTGTGTTTGCTGCAGGTTTTTCCGGCGCTGCTGGGTGACGTTCGACCGCAGCGTGAACATCAAGGAGACGTGCTGGAACCTTCAGAACATCCGGGTAAGCCCACCAGAACACAGCGTCAGCACCACACGGGTGGACGGATGAGTGATGTCTGCTGCTGTCCTCCCCCAGCTCAGAGACTGCGAGCTGTCCCCGGTGGTCAACAGAGATCTGTGTCGGCGAGTTCGCAGCGTCAACGGTCTGACGCACCACAAGCCGGTGGTGAGGAACGACATCCGGCTGTCGGCCCGGCTGGTGCACAGCCTGGACCAGAGAGGGGAGCTGTGGGCCGGACAGGTACGCTGTCTGAGTCGCTCTGCTCAGTTCTTTTCAACCTTGTGGAAGTTGTTGTGCAGAAGCTTTACGTCGGCTTGTTACGGTTTCACATCATTGGAACCACATTTCAGTTGATTGTTTTTTACACTTAATTTGTCATTTTGGACAATTGTTGTACGACTCTGGACGGGTGTCACTTTTGTTGGACACATTTTAAGATCTTTTGGTTCGTCTTAGACAATGTTTACATCATTTTATTGAATATTTCAAGTTACTTTGAGTCAGTTTTTTATCCTTTTTTCTGTTGATTTGAAGTAGTTTGAATCATTTTGGACAGATTTCGACTCGTTTCGGACATTTCTGAAGTTGTTGTTTTGATGTTTGCTGAGTCATTTTGTAAAAGTTTTGACACTGTTTGTGTAATTTTTGGCAGGTTACAAGTTATTTTTGACCAATTAAAAGTTGTTCTAGTCGAGTTTCGAGTCATTTTGGATGAGTAGTGAAAAACCAAGGTGTTGTGGTTGATGGAGGATCGGAGTTCACAGAATCACTGAGTTCTTCTTTTAACCGAATTTCCGCCGTCGTGTAGGTGGTCGGTATTATTCTGTAAAGCAGGGCTGAACCACTCTAGACCAGAAGGATCAACGAACCGATAAGACATCAGGAGTCTAACTACATCATGTCTCAGGTTGTGGCACAAACATTGATTGGAGGAAGTAAGTGGACATGACTCCACCTCCTTTAAGAGCTTTAACTCAAACACCAGTGTGACCTTTGACCCCAGGATGTACTCAGGGTCAGCTCAGCCCTTATCCAGCACCTGAACATCAGCCAGGTTGAAGCTGGTCGGACGTGAACTTGATGAAACTGAATTCACTTCACTGTGTGTGCAGATGGAGACCAACCCCGTGCTGAAGAACATCACAGATTACCTGATAGAGGAGGTGAGCGCCGAGGAGGAGGAGCTGATGGGCGCCGCTGGGGGCAACAGCGACGAAGCAGGTGACTCCAAAGACCCCGCCTCCTCCTCTGAGGTTACCGTGGAGACGGACGACAAGCTGCTGAAGGTGGGAGGAGCTCCGTGTGTTTGATTTGATCCCGTTAGTGGTGACACTTTAATGTACAGCTTTAAATGAAGGTTCCATCCACAAAGTCCATGTTCATCATCCAGTCTCCAGTCACTCCCAGAACTCTGGATGTTCTCTGATGGAACCATTGGATCATGAATCTTTGTCACATTAAACAATCCTGGATTCTGGTTCTTTCATAGGTTTATCAAAGTTCTTCTGGAAACATCACAAAACCTGCTGGATCATAAATAAACATACAGCCCTTCTAACATCTGGTTAAACGTCCATGTTCTCTTCAGTCGGGTTCTTCTGGTTCCGTCCACCAGCTTCTGGTCCATCTCTGACTCCTCTGGACAGAATCGCTGCAGTTCAACTAAACTCGTCGTCTTTCTGACTCAGACTTGTTCCTTCATCAGTCCACAGGTTCTGGATGGTTCCAGTCAGGACTTTGGGGAGACCAGTCTAGAACCTTCATTCCAGCCTGATGGAACCATTTCTTCACCACTTTGATGTGTGCTTGGGCTCATTGTCTGGTTGGAACATCCAACTGTGTCCAAGATCAACCTTCTGCTGATGGTTTCAGGTTCTCCTGAACAACCTGGAGGTGATCCTCCTTCTTCATGGTTCCACTGATTTTGTGTAAAGCTCCAGGTCCACTGGCAGCAGAACAGAACCAGAGCATGATGCTGCCACCTCCATGCTTGATGGTAGGTTTGGTGTTCTTGGGTTGAAGGCCTCACCTTCTCTCCTCCAGACATGTTTCTGCTCATTGTGGCCAAATCGCTCAGTTTTTGCATTTCTGTGTTTGTTTATGATCCAGCAGGTTTAGTCATGTTTCCAGGAGACCTTGAATGAATCTATGAAAGAACCAACATACAGGATTGTTTCTGTGACAAAGATTCGTGTTTCAGTGACTCCATCAGAGAACGTCCACAGTTCTGGGATCCACTGGAGACGATAGACATGGTCCCTCCAGTGGATGGAACCTTGAGTTCACAGCTGCATGTGTTTTTTAATGAACTGCTTCCAGGTGCTGGACAGACTGCTGCTCTACCTGAGGCTGGTTCACTCTGTAGATTATTATAACTTCTGTGAGTATCCTGCTGAGGACGAGATGCCTCATCGCTGTGGGCTGGTCCACGTACGAGGACCCCTACCTGTAGCCAAGATCACTGCGACCGAGGGTGAGCTAACAGTGACTGCTAAAGAGACACGACACAAGATGTTCTGAACACCGGTGGCGTTGTGGGGTGTAATCCAGCGCTGTGCTTTGATTGGACAGTGAGCGAACACCAGAAGATGTGCGAGGAGCGTTTGGCTCCGCTGCTGTCGCCTTCAGAGACTCTGAGTGAAGAAGAAGCTGCCAGACTGGGGAAGAAGGATCCAGAACAGGAGGTACAACGTCTGGGTCTTTCTATCTGTCCATTTTCTTTTGCTTATCTGTGTGACAGCAGACTGAGCAGGTAGCTTCAGATGGTCCTCCTCTCAGCTGTGGTTCAGGAGATAAGACATGGAAAGCCTTGATTGTATTCCCTTGAAAACATTCACACGGGCTGTTGCAAGTTTGTCGTTAGGAAAGTTGGTAATTAACCTGAAATCAGCTAAAGTACATCACCCAACAAGGCAGAGGACAAAGGCTGTGTACATCAGTAAACACAGACCAGCTGCAGTACCTGGTTGTTCCACCAGGTGGAGCCTCTCACTGTTTAATCCTGTAGAGACCAGAGAGGCGTCACTCAGACTGCAGCTCATGGTGGCAGCAGAGAGCATTGTGGGAGTTTAGCAGCAGCGGGACCATGACAGAGACTCTGAGGAGGTTAATTAGCTCCACGTTGGTTCGTGGAAACGAGTCGGACTCACGAGTTCTCCTCAAAAGAGTGAGTGCCATGTGAACCCCTCTGTGTCCAGGTGGAGAAGTTCCTGTCGGCCAACACTCAGGAGCTCAGTAAAGACAAGTGGCTCTGTCCGCTGAGCGGGAAGAAGTTCAAGGTGAGTCCAGGTGTCCGCCCACGCTCACATCTGACCTCGCTGACCGGTCGCCACGGTAACACTCTTTGTTGTTGTTCAGGCTCCAGAGTTTGTCCGCAAGCACATCCTGAACAAACACGCCGAGAAGGTCGCCGCCGTCAGGCAGGAGGTCGAGTTCTTCAATAACTTCCTGCTGGACGCCAAAAGACCTTCGTTACCTGAGAACAAGCCCCTCCCACCGCCGGCACAAGGTGCTGCCTCTGGAGCTCACCTGTACACACAATGTAGAGAGAAAACGTGATATTCTGACACAGCCACGTCTTCTCTGTGTCTTCCAGCTGCTCCTCCTGGCATGCCGGGATTTCCTGGTCAGTCGCCTCAGCAGCAGAGCCTTCTGGGATATCCTCCAGGAGTCAGACCTCCGCTGCCCGGCTTCCCAGGTGTCTGTTGATGTTTACCCATCACCGGTCAACTAGTCTGGTGATGTTCCACCATCAGATGTAGAAAGATGTTCCACCATGCTGGATGTATCTCCAACACCTGGCTCCTCTGTAGTTGTGCGTCCGTGGCTGACAGTGTTTGTGTGCTGTAGGTGGAGGACCTCACCACCCGCCCAACCAGTTTGGGGCAGGACGTGGGAACTATGACGGCTTCAGAGGGCATCTGGGCGGCGGTGGCGGCGGGTTTCCTGGGAAACAGCGAAACAGCAGGTAGAGGACAGGTGGCGCTGCAGCTGACAGCACACGGTGTATTGATTACATATTGATCAGCTGTAACTGTGTCTCCAGGGGCGTGCGAGGAGACCCTCGGTCCATCATCGAGTACAGAGACCTGGACGCTCCAGACGACCTCGACTTCTTTTAGGCTCCAAATATGGCAGGACGTTTTTGTTTTTTACTTTTTTATTCCTCTGTTGGTCCTGATTCCTCCCCTCCATGTTCACCTCATCAGTTAGGACAGAAGTGTGTGTGTGTGTGTGTGTGTGTGTGTGTGTGTGTGTGTGTGTGTGTGTGTGTGTGTGTGTGTGTGTGTGAGAGCAGGACCAATGTTACTATCAGTTATTAGTGATGATGATTCGTGTCACTTTCCAATAAAGACCAACACAGACCAGGTGATGTGTCGCTGTGGTTCACCTCCTGTTCCTCGCCAGGATGATGTCATCGTGGCCTCTGGATCACTACGTACGGCCGCGAACTCAAGTGTTCTCCACTGTCGAGTCCATGTTTATCATTCAGTCTTTAGGCTCCAGTGACTCGTAGAACTCTGGATGTTCTCTGGGACCATGGTTCTCATGGAACCATTGGATCATGACTCTTTGCCACTAAAACAATCCTGTATTCTGGTTCTTTCATAGATTCATTAAAGGTTTTCTGGAAACGTGACTCTAGGAGTCACTGGAGACTAAAGACTGAATGATGAACATGGACCTCATCGTGGATGGAACCTTTAGTTCATGACTGTTGGTACAACATCTAGTGCACCACAGAAGGAAGTGCATATTTAAAATCCAGGTCCCAGAATCATTTTAGGTTCCAATTGTGCATTTCTATTTTTTTATTTGTTTATCCAGGTGCAGTTCACCTCTCAGTAACTGACCAGCAGATCATTTACCTCCAACAGTGAAGCTAGCCACTTGAGCGTAGCTGTCTGATCACACCTCGGTTTACTTTATCAGCATTGAGTTTCTACATTTGGGCCTGAATTTTCAGTGACATACAGGTTCATCCACCGTTGGTTTCTAATTGGTCAAACTGTGAGTCTGATGGATGCTGGAGAACATCCTCTGGTCAGATGAAGGTAAATGTGTTGGGCTCAGATGGACTCCAGATGTTTGGTGTGAACCTGACCAGGACCACCACAGTGAGGCACGGAGGAGGCAGCATCACGAGGTCATTTACATGTCGCTGCTGTGAGCTAACAACGGTGAGTTTTTAGGTGCCTGGCTAACGGTGGCAGCTTAGCGACCACCTCAGAAAACGCTCGAAAAGTCTACGTGTTCTTGACTAATTTACATTATTAGTGACGAATACTTGCAGAATAATTCTGGTTCTGAAGTTAGCTGAAACATCCATCATCCATTTGTTGTTCCGCGTGTTGACCACCAGGTGGTGCCGTCGGCCTCTTATTCAGCAGCAACACGATGAAAACGAGGCATGAGGCCCAAACATTGGCTCACGTTCAAGAATTCAAACAATAAACTACAATTAAATCGGTTAAATTTGAATAAAGAATACAGCTTCAGCACTCACTGATCAGCTGCTGACTGTCGGCCCCAAAGGTTCTGATGATCCGTTTGTCAGTTTGGGTCACTTTACAGTCAAAACAGTCTTAATTCTGTGATTCCAGATTCTTAAATGTGAACATTTTCCCTTTTTCCCTCCACTATGACGGTAAATTGAACATGTTTGGACAAAGCAAGATATTTGAGAATATTCACACTGAAGAAGCTGCAAACATGAACTCACGCTTTTAAAAAGTTAATCAAGAATTTGGAATTTGAATTTCCCTTGAATTGAATTTCTCTTCTGGGATAAATAAAATATTTTTCATTTCATTTCATTTCAAGAAAATCTCTGCAGATGAAGTTAATTAGGCGACAATCAGTGCAGCTCCGTTTTTGACGTGGATACTTGAACCAGAGCAACACACTGATGTAACTCTGGTTTGTTGTTCCAGTGAGGAGACACCTGACGGATGAACCCGGTGGAACCAACAGCAGAGTTTCTGTCCAGCCGATGAGCCCAAAGGTTTGTGACTTTGACCTTCGATGACGTCCCTCTTCTAGATGTCACGTATGAGGAGTGGAGGGATCTTATTTTGGTGGTTTAAAAGATGACACAGCTGCAGGTTAGCGTTTGTTCAGGTCGATATGAGCACCAGCTGAATGCAGTCTGACACGCTGAACACATACAAACGATGTTGGCCGTCGTTTCACAGATGGAGACGACGCAACGCAGACGTGTACGACAACAAGACACAACGCAGACGTGTACGACAACAAGACGCAACGCAGACGTGTACGACAACAAGACGAAAGGCAGACGTGTACGACAACAAGACGAAACGCAGACGTGTACGACAACACGACACAACGCAGACGTGTACGACAACA